AGGTGGGGGGACCTGGATAAAGGCTGGGGGGGAGGGGGCGCTGGCCCAAAAAAGTTTGAGAAACACTGGTCTAAAGTAAGATAACTTGATCAAAGCTGGATGGTGAAATGCTCACCTTTACCATATATGGAAGTTCAGATTGGGGGAGGACAAGATCTGCTAGCTTCTGTAAAATGAGGTGAGGGACATAAAGCCATAACTTTTTCATATCAGAAAAAACATTTAATGGCTGCACTTTAAACTGACTGAGTAGCATTAATATTATCAATTAAAATAATTGCTTCTTTTAGTTATCTTTTAACTTAAAGAAACACCCAACGACAGCATTCTTTCTTCAACAGTTACTGTTAAATTTGTAGTCTTAAAAGCTCACCTACTTGCACTGAAAAATTACTCAATTCAGTATCAATATACGAGAAAAAGAAGAAACTACTGACAATGCTGGTGTAACTATTCGTGTTTCCCCATCAGATACGGTTCTCTCAGAGTCTCTTCACTGCTCCGCACAGCCCAGGTGCCAAAATACATGTGTGCTTGTTCAGCGATCATAACATGCACTCGCTTGCGCTCTTATCCAGAGAACTACGGACACCGTGAAAGCTCAAACAACGTGTTTCATCAAAGTTATCCCACTTTTTTCCAACTGCGCCCTAATCAGACGCACACAGTGCGTGTTTCCCCCCAGTATCTTGGGAAACGGTACCTGATGGGGAAACGCGAATCGACGTGCTTTCAAGTGCGCATGTGTTTAAAAAAAAAAAAAAAAAAAAAAACACACACATGCGCACATAGTTTCAAAGAACCTAGCACCGACTAGTGGCGTGGCGAGAGCATTACATCTTTTCGATGTGTACCGTTACTGTGGAAACAAAGACTGCGATTATGGATGAGTTCATACTGCAGCCTGAGTGACCCAATTCCGATTTTTTTTTGAGGTAATGCGACCTGTATCCAATCTTTTCATGGCAGTGTGAACAGCACAGGTCGGATTCTTTTTCGAATGTGACCCGTATCTGACAGGTATCCCATTCTGTCATTCCTCCTTGGTGCTAACTAATCGCTTTTTTGAACTTCTTTCCCAACAAACAGATCCTTAAAACTCGCAAAACTGCTAGGCTGCCCCGTGGATTATCCTGCTCATCTGGAGTATTGTTCGCTGAATGCTGATCCTAAAAAGATGTTTCTCAAGCAACATGAAAACATTGTACCGCCTTCAGTTTTGCCCTATCCATTTGTCCCACATATTGATGGAGACTTCGTACCATCAGACATAGAAGTAAGTCTCTACATATTTGCATAAGTGATTTCTTCAAAAAGTGAAGAACTGCAAATGTTTTACATATTACTTACAATATTTGAATTGTATTGAAAGCTATGTTAAATCACCATTTGAAAAACAAAAAGAAAAACTTATTGCTAAACAACAGCAAACCTTGTTTCATCTGCAGACGTTGCTAAACAGCTCTACTCTTCCCAACAAAGAGCTGTTGATCGGCTTGAATAAAGATGAAGGAACCTACTTTCTTTTTTATGGAATGCCTGGTTTCACTCGCGAGGGTGAAAGTTTAATCACCAGGAAGAACTTTATAGAGGGTTTACCACTGGTAATGACAAATTCAAGTGAGATTGTTAAAGAAGCCGGTATTTCTTACTACACTGACTGGCGAGATGAAAACAATACGAAGTCCAACCGTGATGAAATGGCTAGGATGGTTGGAGATTCGCTGTTTAATTGTCCTGTAATGAAATTTGCTACCAGGTAAGTTCCAGATCTCAGGTTAAGTGATAAATGCTTTTATATAGAAAAAACATCCTCTGTTGTAACTGTGGTGTACATATGTTTGATCCCTGAGAGCAATACCAAAAAACCTTATAGAACTATTTATATTTATAGAACTCTATAGAACTACTACTTAATTTCACTTTGGGATTAATAAAGTATTTTGGAATTTAAGTTGAATTGAGAACTAAACACAGGTTAACTTTCTAAAATAATTTAAAAAAAATCCATAATTTTCCCTACACTTCAAAATGATGTACTTATTGCATAAATCCATCACATAAAATCCCAATGACATACAGTCATATTCAATAAATCTAAATGTGTATTTCATTGAGGCTTGTTTTTCAGATTAGAAAAGCCTTTTGAAAATAACTTTTAAGCAGTTATTAACATACCTTTCTTTACGCCACATTTTTGGATTGAATGTTTTGTTTAATTGGTCTGATGTAATATTCGAATCCTTTGTTATGTCATTCCATGATCTGTCAGCAAAAATCATCACAATTACCATCACAATTTACAAAAAGTTCAAGAATACAAAACAAATCTGTTAATTAGTTACAGTGCAGAACTGTGAATGGATCATTTGAGGCAACAGCAAAAACCTCTAGTTGTCAAACCTTTAATTATTCTTATATTATGTCTATGCAAAAAGCTGCGTTCTCGTTTGGGATGCCAGACAATTCAAAATATTGTCGGAAAGGAAAAATCTGGACCAAAATCCTGCCGTGTGGAC